AATTCCAGAAATCCGAAAATGAACCGCAGGGAAGAATGCCTCATTATCACGCGTGATATAGGGCAGTATATAAAACTGCCCCTCTGGTGTGAGGGGCACATTATACTTCCACGTGATTTCTGTGCGGTTGGTCTCTACGTGACATACTTTGTGGAAACCTCATAGAAAGCGGTGAGTGTGCAAAGATGTGTTCAAAGTGATTGAAATCTTGGTTTGGAGTTTCTTTGTTTGGTTATGGAGGCGTCTGGCCGAGTGGATTGCTATCAACTTGACCTTTCCAGGCTCTGAAGAAGGCGAAATCCGCCGAAACGTCAGCTTAATCGTGAACAAAGAATAGTAACACCTCGCGTTTGCTCAACAAAAATACGAAGAAAATCACTGTAGTTACCATTTCAGAGGGCTAACACGTTCTCCACCACACCTTGCGATTCCTTCGTTTCGTTTGTCTCTCAGCTAGTTTTCTATCGATCAGTGCTATCACCAATCACCTGTCAACGCGATTGATCTGGAGAACACAAATCGGCATTGAACCCAGTTAGTATTGTACTTTTAAACATCGCGTATTTATACATTTATGGTTAACGAACAACATAAATAACAGTTAATCATCAGCTTGCTCTTTACCACCTTGAAAAATTTCCGTGAATTTACTCATCAACATGCATAATTCACTCCTAAAAATGTATAAGGAATTAAAAGACCTCTACTCAAACAACACGACGCTCCTAGTGGCGAAATCTTAGTTAACCAACTAATTATTAACATGAGTAATTATGAATATATTAGAAAGAACAGGAAAAGATAATAGACTAAAAATATACTCAACAAAATAGAAGTCCATAGACAAAAGTAATAACAAAAAAGCAAACAGCCTCGCAAAGACGAAAACGTATTGGTTCAAATAACGTTCTAAACTTCATGCAGAACTTATCACCGTCTCTGTTTCTTTATTTGTTCTGAAAAATGAACAAGCGTTAATATAGAACAGTAAGGCGGTAAAACAAAAGGCACAACAAAAGGATATGATCATGTTTGGTGAAAACCCTACGGTGTGCGACAGTTGCTTGAGTGATTTCTGAACGTACCTTTCACAGAAACTGGTGCCATCCCCGCAGATGATATCCCATAATGCCGGCGAACACTCGCAAAAACATACACGCTTGTTGTCTTCAGACAAGTAATCAATCAGTATGGAGTGTTTCTCTTGCACTGCCTGGAAAGCTATTGGTACGATGAATTAGTAAAAAAAAAGCACACTGCTCTTGGCGACGATCAGTCCCTAAGGGATACGCCATGTATACGACTTCATTAAGCATCGCTAGAGATAAATGGATGTATATCTGGCCTATACCATGACTCGCGGTGGCTTACCGATGTATTGAGTCAGTGCTGCTATCCTCTCAGATAATTCTTGTACCAGTTTCCCAACCATGGACGAAAGACGACTTGATGAGCCTGGTGCGTGGGATCCATCCCAGGTGCATTTCAGGGCGCCTCTAACCATTGCGCTACACGCCCTCGTTACGTTGAATTATTATGGTCAGAAACTTTTCAATATCTTCTTGCATTTATGACCTACCTCGGCGTTCCTAAAAAAAACCTCTTATCGTGGCTAACATATCGTCACCATTGCCTTCTATAAAGCATCTGTGATTCGAATCGAATTTCCACAGCAGCTCTCTCTGACGATGCGAGTTTTCGCAGTCATATCGAGTAAAAAAGCGTTGCGTGGAAAACCGTACGAAGGTTCCGAAACGTCGGACAGAATAAAAGACCGTTGTATAAACCACAATGAAAAAAACGGCTCAGAGAGAGGCAAAACGACATAGGTTGTCTGGGAGGATAACACTTGAGTCTTCAGAAAAGGTCATTACGGGTTTGAAGCACATCTGAGGTTCCGAGTTTGCTCATATCACAGTATCGCTGTGGTTGCATTTCACACAATATCCTGCTATGAAACAAATAATAGGTTGTGAATAAAAGTTAAACATTGTAATTTTTGTATCATCCCCGTGTTATTTTATAAACACGGAAAGATATTTTTCCGTTCCCTGGTCAAACTTTTCTCCATCGCCCGGCTAACGGCCATTAAAAATTGGAGGAAAAATGAATACATCAAGGAAATTGGTGTACCAATGACGAACGGATGGAGCATTTAAATCAGTGGATATGAAATATATTTTATTAACGAGGGAAATTTCAATTAGCTACCTACCCATTTCATCTCATACATCAAACCCCGCATCACATCGCGTGTACTACCAACGGGAAATTTCGTAAGCTCTAGAAGACTTCGCTCCATCTCGAATAGAGCATGGAATTCTGATTCAAATGAGGACTGAAACACTGGGATTTTCTAAACAAAGGAAATTTCTCTTTGCGATAAGGATTTGACAAAGAAGCCCACCTCTCTCTTTGTGATAATTGCGGATGAAATACATACAGCCGCGTGGGCTACCCTAGGTCCTCCTTCATCGCGAAATCTCGAGTCTAGTAAGGCCAAATCCAACAGGTACTGAGATATAACAGGTGTATGAAGTGAAAATAATTTTTAAAAGAAAGATTATCAAAACTAAGACATCTGTTAATTCCCAATTGAAGAAAAAACATTAAACAAGCAAAATTTCACTTACGTGAGCATGGCGGATTTGCTCATCAGTGCAATTTAGTTCCTCAAGCATATAATTAGCAAAATCGAGCGGTGTTGAGAAGCAAAATCCATCCGTCATTTCGTATACGATACGCTTTTCAATATCGCAAAGACGTGCTTTATCTTTAGTGGCACCTGCAAGTCCATTTACCGTACCGGGCGTAAGCGAGTCGTATTCTTCCATCTTCCTAAAATAATAGCATTTACAGGGATGTCCATAATAGCTGAGTGGAACAACTGATTGAAATTTAGACAGACACAGAAGGAAAAGCGCACTTACGTTCCAAGTACCATAGAAACAGCGCATACGTCAGCTAATGCATCTCTCGAAACATGAAATGAATCCAAGCACTTATCCAAGATGTAAGCACCAAGGTGGAAAGCTTCCTAGAAACAATGAAATGGCACAGAATAGTTGTGTTCACATAGAAAGAATGATTACCGACAATAATCTCGACATCGCTAATACAGCATTTATGCGCCAAGTGCCAGTTACACACTAAAGTCATTCACTGCAAATTGTCTTTCAGCCACCAACCATTGTGTACTTCCGTTTCCTCATTTCTGATGCAGCCTTTAACAAAACAAGACGACGATCTTCACATGAAGCTCCAGATGGCTTCTGAGCAGACATAAATAGGGGACCAATGGCATGAGCAGTCTCCTGATGGCTTAACCAAATGTATGTCTGAAAATAGCAGTTTCGTGAGAAACCGAAAAGTAAAGGCTATCCATAAAAAATAAAAACACCGGATCGAAATAAAAAAAACTTACTACGGCTATACGATTCAGTGTAGACATAAGTATGCAAATGAAATGTCAAATTAAAACAAATGTTAAAAAACTAACGTCCTTAGCAAACTCGTTGGCATATCTCTGGAAGCCTAGAAGCCGTTTATTCGATGCTGCTGGACTAGCTGGAAACAGTAAGTCAGATTAGCGCACAAGAATTTGAACTATAACGAAACGAGAATGAAGTTACAGCATAAATACAATGGGACATAGAAAAAGTAGAAGAGAAACCATGAGGCGCACATAATAATCACATTTAGGTTTTCAAAGTTTAGTTTTAAATAAGCGCATCCATGGAGATATAACACAGCAAAGACTGCACCAATACTTAAAATTATGTTGTAGTTGGCATAGATGAATGTGGGGCGCATGTAGCGCTGTGGTTAGAGAGACCCTGCAATACACATAGGATCGATCATGCGCCTCCGGCTTACCAAGTGTTCCGTCCCTCCGGGGTCGGCAAATTGGTACCAGACCGGTCTGGGAGGATAGCAGCACTGATCCGAGACATCGATGGGCCAATGCGGGTCACTGCACAGGCCCGATATGTATTCAGTCACCTCTAACGTTGTTCATTGAAATTGGATGCATGGCGCATCCCTCAGAGATTGACTAACGGCGACAGATTTATCCTTTTTTCTATAGAAGAGTCTTACAGTAGTTCAAAAAGATGCAGTTCTACTTTCCCCACCGATATGCTAAACATGAAAGAAAAGCCGTAATGTCTTTGGTCTACAAGTCTATTAATTTCCACTAGTTCCTTATTTGTAGCTTCGCTAAAAAAACACTTATGATTATTCAACGTACGACGCTCGGCGATGGTTTTTCAACAAGTCGCGACAATTTTTCGATCACTGAGGCAGCTAGGGAGTTTACTCTTGACAGATTCGTACCATATTATTTCCACTTTAGACTTACTCAGAATTACACTTCTTTTAAAAAATGAGACTTAGGTTAATATGATTTCTAGCGCAAACGCCGCACCTGCAAGTGTAAACGACACGTTAGAAAATACATAGTAGCGCTTTGCTAAAGAAAACTTCGCCTGCTTAATTTTTATGCCTGCCACAGAAAAAAATAAATGGAAATACGACTGTGGACGAAAAAGTGCAAAACAATACGCTTCACTGCCTCTAAAATATCAGAACTGCACCAAGCTAGATCAAGAAAAGATGTATCTGGTTCTTAAAAACCAATGCATTCCAATGATTTTTATCCCAGCTAGCAAAGTTTTCTAAGTGCTGAGATATTCCGGTTGATCCGAAAAGCGAGCATTGAGATCAATACATGTTAGACGTTATTTTTTATCCTTACACGTAACTACCATAGTCCATATCATCACAGAAAGATATGCATTACATGAATAACTTATCTTTGAGGTTATCGCAGCTGGAAACAAGGCGCCCGCGTTTCGCGATAGGACTACGCGTTGAAGAACTGCTCGATGTTACGGAGTGCTAAATATCCGCGCTTGTGCCGGTGATAAGACGCTATCACTTGGTAATACCACAACGTGATTTAAAAAGTAAACTAAAGTAAAATGAAATACGGAAGAAGTCCTTTTAATATAAAGATCACGGATCAACTTTCAAAACTATCTCACCCTTGGCAAAGCTAGTTGAGGACCACCTCTGTCTCTTGTCACTGGTGTAACAGCTTCGAAAGAGTACTCAGCGCATTCAAACAATGCTGGACCATCGTCCAAGTCACCTTTCCTAAAAACCCAACAGAAATAGAAATGATTCAAATATTCAGAAATTTCTGTACCAAATTTCCTACAGGACTTAGCACTAACTGAGTTATTCATAGAAAATATCCAAACCAGTTGTGAATGGAACACTATGACATCAAGAAAAAAAAAGGACGCAAATACCAGTAGTACCATAGAGAAGTTTTCCTAGCCTTACCAAACACGTATCGCAAAATATAGAGAAGTTGGATTCACCCTTTGTCGGAAACTAGACAGTCCACTTTCTCCTTTGGATATCAAAACTATCACACTATTCTTCTACGATTAGCACGACTAGTTATTAAACAAAAGGTGTTCTTGAAAACCACTCGTTTTTTTGCAGTAACAAAAACATAAGACTGAAAACAGTGCTACAACCTGCCACATCTTTCATGAAAATTTCTCGGAGGAGATTCTTCCGAAAAATCAGAAGAAGAGCTACCGCTTTGCGAGAAGAAATCTGAAAAATAACCATTTTAGTGTGAAGCAGTGCTTGAATGCAGTAAGATTCTCACCGCTGACTCTTTCATTGCTGCTCTGAGTGCTAAAGTCTTGTTCATGACGAGGATACACTTTCGCTGGTGCCGGCGATGTATCTGCATACGCTGGCGGAGGTGAGTTGCCAAAGGAACTTCCACTTAGGTCAAGGTTCTGCGGACCACTCGGAGAAAATGATTTCATCGGCTCGATGGCAGTACCACTGCTCTCCCATGAGCTTCTCGATGAACTAGTAGCATATCCCTCTGAAAATGAACTTGTACGACATCAGGTAACTCTGGGCTGTAACAATGTAATGGTAAGAGAAAGAGAAATTGGTGTTCACGAAAGTCGCACCAGAATGTGTGTCCAACGGAACAGATTTCGATAACGGTTGTACAGCACTCTCCAACGATCTCTGGTACCGCGTTCGCTGAAAATTATCGCTGTTCAACGAACTGTTTTCCCATATCTCTTAAAACGATTCCGAGTATACCCCTACGTCTGCATCAACCTGCAGTTCAAAACGTATTCTACAACGAAAGTTATCCACAGAAAGATTAATGAATACAGATGGGTGGAATGATCCCCATTTCGAGAAATATCGGAATAATTTTCCGCGATCTATGCAGATATTCGTGGACTATGGATATTTTTTCAGTCAACCTCCACAAAATGTAACGTATTTATCAACTAAATTTTATAAGGATAAAGAATAAAGCTCTCGAGGTCGACCAATCCCTGAGGGATGGGCCATGCATTTGACTTAAGCATCGTTTAAAGTGATTGAATACATATCTGGCCTTTACAATGAGTCGCGATAGCCTACAGGAGTATCGAGCCAGTGCTGCTATCCTCCCATACAAATTTGATATCAATTTGCCCACCCCGGAGAGCTGGATGGATTGACGAGCCTAGTACGCGGAGATCAATCGCGTGTATACTGCAGGACGCCTAATCACTGCGATATACGCTCCCCCAAATTTCATATTGAGCAGTATTTGGAGACCATAAAAGTGAATTGTATGCAACTGTAAAGACTGAACAGTACGCAGCAGCTGATGCAGAAAAGAAATCATGAAAGGACTGATATGCATTTCCCAGCCTTGGGTTTGGTTAAATTCTTTTCATTTAGGTTCGATCTCCATAAATGTAACATTTAACTGAGTGAAGCTCTAGAAGCTCTCAGCGTTGACCAATCCCTAAAGGATGCGCCATGCATTCGACTTCATTGAGCATCGTTTGGAGGTAATCGAATTCATACCTGGCCTTTACAATGACTCGCGGTGGCCTACCGATGTATCGAGACAGCGCTGCCATCCTCCCAGACCAGTCTGGCAGAAATTTTTCGATCCCGAAGGGATGACGGGCTTGGTGGGGCATGGGAGCGGGGATCAATCCCACATATGTGTTGCAGGGCGTCTGCTAACACTGCGGCACACGCGCCCTTCTTTAACTGAGTTTTGATAATTAATATGGAAACCCTGGGGTGTAACCCGTTCAGTACACCCTCAGTAACCACAGAAGAGCACCGGAAGCCCATGACACTGCTCGTTGGTAAAAACACCGTACTTTTTCATTGATAAGCTAACACGATGGTGTTACCACATAATTATTCGACTAATGGTTAGACGTCTTCGTCTTCTTCATAGAACATCATCGAGAAGATTGAGAGAATGTGGATCATCGAGTCGGATGATCGGCTTTGAGGAAGACGAATAGGTCGAAACGTCAGCCGAATAAAGACGTGGTATGAATCTCGTGTTAGCTCAACAATGAACCAAGGTATATTGATCACTTAGGCCGAGGTTAAATGAATGTTGGTTTACGACAAAATATTGTACAGTATGAAATAATGGTAAAATATAGATTTCGAAATAAAACGTAACATTACATGGGTTTCAAAAATCGAGAAAAGTAAAAAAACGCAGTGAAAGGTATAGTTCTTGTAGAATTCAATGTTCCAAGAGATGAAAATAACTAGTAAGAAACCTAAGGTATACAACTAGCAGAACATCACACAACTCACTCTTACTAAGGAATTGCAAACAGCAAAAAAGGAACTGAAAGAAGTGCCACTACCGATCGCGTACGAAAGGAAATAAAAAGAAATAAGAGGAAAACAGGAACCCAAAGGTTTGTTCCAGACATGCATTCCGAATTAGGACGATATGGATAGTATGGAGAGAAATAGCATTGCTCATCTCTGGCTCCTCTTGTGATCAACGACTTGCTCAGTGAATACTGAAGAATACTGGGGCCTGAATACGATCGCTACAAATGCAAAAGCTATAAGATGACGTCAGATAACAGTCCTAAAATGAGGACGTCTTTGCCGATGTGGGACAATTAACTTAAGTTACTAAATAATTCTTTTATAAGTCATACCTCGAAGAACAATTCCATAAGCATTATCTTCTAATGGTTCGCCATTTAGCTCGCGATAAGATTCTATGGGACATGAATCCAGAGAAGAGTTCTTGGGCGAAGAGAATGTGAACATCGGCATCTAGTGGTCTCGAGAAACAAGAAAAGAAGAAAATACCTAAAATCTGCATTAAAAAGAATCTAAAAGATTTTCGATAAAGACGAACAGATGATGATGATGGCATCAGATTGTTACACGCTTTAGTACAAAACTTATAACGACAAAACCGTACTGCCACAACTTACAAGAGGTGTGGATAACAGAACCAACGGTGGAAGACGAGTATCTGCAGTACGTCCTGATCTGTAACAAGGTATTAAAAGTTATTGAGTACTTAAAAAGCAAGTTCTGGAAGAAGCCAAAGGTTTTCTTACAGAGTTGGGCACAAAGCTACCAAGAAAAATGTAGCAAATACAAGAAACAACTCTAGAATCTAGAAAACTCTAGAAAGCGGCTCTGAGGAAGGCGAAATCCGCCGAGACGTCAGCTTGTGCGTAAATAAAGAAATAAAATAGCACCTCGTGCTTGCTGAACAGAAGTAGAAAGATCTAGAATCTGTTCCTAGGATTCGAATCAGTTACGCAAAGACAAGTTTCTAACCAAAGAAACTACAGGCATACGAGTAAATGTTACTAATGTTACAGATAAAGAAACGCATTTCCAGGTAATCAATAAAGAAACTCGTCTAAAGCCAGCAACCTAACAAGCGATACAGCGGATCAAAGGTCAGGATGGTTGCGAAATCCAGGCGACCGGCCAACGGCTTCCAGAGACGGCTGCTGCATGGCCGCAACCGTTTTCGAGCCTTAGCATTTCATTTGGTGGAGCGATTTCTCATGTTAATCGCTCTGTTCATAGTAGTGTCTTCTAGAGAACTACAAGCAACTCTATTGTTAAATCTATGAGATCGGACAGAATAAGGAATCCGAGAAGTTTATCCGGTCCGCATTAGGAATTTGTGGAAAAGTTTCTGCATTTTTGCGGCAATAGCAACTTCCGAAGGTCTTACATTAGACGACACTGTAATGGGTCCATCGAGAACCACGAAGGGCATTCCTTATTCGCCTTCGAGTTTATCTTTCAGCGGTTTTTCTTTTTTTTGTTTAGACTGTTCAGCTTACGCGAGATTGTTATAAAGCCTTTGTTCAGCTATTCGAGTTTATTAACTTATTAGCAGAGTAAATGTTCTGTAAGGAGCGGACAGCATAGTGTTAGTGATACCAGTCACTACGAGAACGGTGCTTGTTCAATCACGCGCCCGTGGATCACCAAGTATTCCATCCTTCTGGAGTCGGAAAATTGGTACTACACATGTCTGGGAAGATAGCAGCACTGGCTCAGTACATGGGTAGACCACCGCAAGTCATCGTAAAGGCCAGATATGCATTCAACTATCTCCAGCGATACTGGGTGAGGTCGGATGCATGGCACATCACTCAGGGATGCGGAATTAACGCCGAGAGTGTTAAATAATAGCGGTTTCTCATTTATAGTAATCGTTACAACTTGATCACGGATTTCCCTCATATGAGAGATCTCGAGCCGGCTAATCGCGAGGCTACGTGGCGCGTCTCCAGGTGGCGTATAGGGGATTAATCGCGGACCAAAAGCGACCTTTGCTTCCCTGAGGCGCAGGTGGATCCAGGGAATGGACTCCCTGTTTCTGCTGCGCCGATTTGGCAAATACTTTCTGTATTTGCTAAGCGTATTCATGCATGCGTGTGTGGGTGTGTTCTCGCTTATGCGGATTGTATTCTACGGGTTAATTCGGCCAAAAGCCTGCAATCAAGTGACTGGGAAGTATACGGGAGGAGGTTAGAAGCGGCCTCCAACAAATAAGCTCCATCTCCACTCTGGCAGAGCCTGGCAAGCTACCCGTGAGTATACCCAGCCCCTATGCTCAGAGCCCAGCAAGCTATACGTGGGTATCAAAAATGCTAAACGCAGTAAAAGAAAAAACGGGCCTCTATCTCCTGACCCGAAAGAGCCCCCAGTTTCGCAGCGTTGGGTAGGATGAGTACCGAGAGGCTGCTAAAATTTCAAGGCCACTGGAAGTTGCCTGGATTTCAAAGAACTATGGTGACGATGTGTACCTATAATGCACGTACACTTGCAACTGAGTCCTCGATAGAAGACTTGCTCATGCAAGCAAGAAGGATAAAGTACGACGTCATCGGTCCAGCCGAAAAGAGAAGACGCCACCCTTTCAACGCAGACTATAACAGCAGACAAGAACTGTTCCTCGGAACACGCGACAGTAGAAGAGTCGGCGGCGTCGGCGTTCTCGTCAGCACGAGTTTGTCCATGAACATCGATTCATTCGAACAACTTACAACCCAAATCGGACGTTTACGATTTAAAAAATGTGGATCAATTCCGGCTTTGACCATCTTCGTCGTTTAGGCGCCGACATCAAACTATGACGAAGAAGAAGTCGAAGCGTTCTATATGGACTTGGAGAAGTTTTACAGAGAAGACCACACATTCTTCAAGCTGGGCGTGGGAGTCTCCCAATTGAGAGTACCATAACGGAACAGACCACATCATAGTAAATAGGTTTTGCCTAACCAATGTCGCTGTTGTCCCAAAATCCTACGCGGGATCAGACCATCCCCTACTTCGTGCAAGATTATATTTCTTGTGGAAGGGAGAAAAAGCCGCTAAATTCCAAAACCGAAGTCTCAGAACCACCGTAAACTGGGATTTATTCAATTCATTAGTCGGCTGTTGGGAAGGTGCCGTTGTCGATAACATCGACGAGGAATACGATCGGCTCATTCAACATCTTCACGTTAGCGCTATGAAAGCTGAGAGTTCGAAAGTCACCAAGAGACGTCTGTCTCCAGAAACACTCGAGCTGATACGCCAGCTTGGAATCGCACGAGCTGCTGGCAACCGCGAACGAACGTCCGAACTTGCAAAACAATGCAGACAGGCGATAAAAGAAGATCTTAGAGAGGGAAGTGCAGCAGTAATGGCGGAAGCTGTAGAAGCTGGGAAAAGCATTCGCAAAGCCCACCGAAGCTTCGCCAATTACAAAACCAAGATGATTGCATTCCGACGTCCAGACGGAACAGTGCAGCATCCATAAAGGCAATGAGGAAAACCATTCACGAATACGACTACTCGGACCTCTTCATTAGCCTCGTTCACCTTCCGTCATATGAAATGAAATTATAACTTGACGAAGTCATCACTTAAAAATACAACCACTGTGATGCTGAGATATGAATAAAACTGGGAGTCATAGGTGAGCTTCGAACCCGCACTTGTTCCTTTCCGGAGGCTTACGTGCTCTCCATCACACCAACCAAGGCCATTGCTATGCCTTTCAGCCAACTTTTTACTCTAACGCTGTCAAGAGCAACTGCCCGTCAACGGGAATAATCTGGAGAGCACGAGTCGGCATTGAACCCAGCTAAGCTATGGATGTAGTTACACAGTTACACATTGATCATTTAGACTTTCTACATGGGTATAATTGAACAACCAGCAAGATCACGCTTATGTGAAACTCGTATGTGAGACATTCAAAAGAGCATTTCTCTTCACTACTCGTATAAGCAAGTGGTGCGTGTAGAAGAATGGTTATAGGTATTCTACAATAGACACGTGGTAATTGGTTCGAACCCACATTCCGAGCTAGCATGCCTTCCAATTCCGCGCGATCGGCAAATTGATACCAAACTTGTCTTGGAGGATAGCAGCACCGACTTCATAGATCAGTAGGCTACCGCAAGTAACTGCATAGAATTGATGTGCATTCAGTCACCTCTAACGAGTGTTCGGTGAAGTCGAGTGCATGACGATTGATCAACGCAGAAAACTTAGGCTTTTGCTCATATAAGTGACAGACACATATCAACTGAACGCTGTAGAGGAAAGGGTAGTAACGAGGTTCGATCGCGCTGCAGATACCAGCGGTCAGGAACTTTGCAAATATCTCCGCATCGTTGTGCTTGTATTACGAATAGTACCCTGCCGTGAAAATTGTAGTCGGCAGCAAATAAAAAGTAAGCATTACGATTTCAACTACAGCCTCAGCTTAACTGGCTTCAATGCCGATGTGAGCTCTACAGATCAATCCCGTTGACGGGTGATTGCTGATGACATTGATCGATAGAACTAGCTGAGACACCCCTGAAAGCGTAATAGCGCTTTCGTTCCCCATCGCAGGCACCTGCGTTCCGGAGTTTTGGAAATATCTTAACATCGTATGTAATGCTGAGATATTTGCAAAACTCCGGACCCCAGGTGTATGAGAGACAGGCAAAACGAAGGACCCGGATGGTGTGGTGGTTAAGTGCGCTGCTCCCCGGTAAGGACAACAGCGCGTGTTCGTTCCTCACCGCATACACCTGCGGTCCGGAGTTTTGCAAATATCTCAGCATTACATACGAGTTATACTTTGCAACATATCCTGCCATTAAAAGGAAAAAGGCAGTAAATAAAAGGGTTAAGATTATCTTAACATCATTGTGGTTGTTTAATGTTTCCCAAAACCGACTTTCAATAAACCTCAGCACTGATTGATAATTCACTGTTTTTCTTCAGTGAGTAAACGCGATGTTGGTATTATAGAATTCATTAATTCACAATGGCTGTCGTTTCGGCGGTTTTGCCTTCTTGAAAGCCTGGACGAGTCAAATTCACAGGCAGTCTGCTCAGTCAAACACTTTCATAACCTTAGCCGATAAAACTTAGCACACAAATTTGCATTCACATAACACAGCTTCATTTAAACACCCACTGTTTTATTCGTTGTAAGCATTTCAGTTAACTGGTGGAGAGCAGCCGCACGGACTAATACATGGGTGAGGACTGTGTCTGTGTCAGGTCATTGGATTAGCCCGAGGTATGGCGCGAGGTCACACGCGTGATGGTAAGGCACTCCTCCTTGCTGTTCATTTTTGAATTTTTGAAATTGATCCAGAACGCTTCAGGAGTTTTACGCGCTGATGTTTTGGATTACGCTCATCTTTTCGATTCTACGGTCCTCCCAGGGCTCTGTTATGCTGCAGAGACGTGGGTTGATGCTTCAACCACGTCAAGAATGCTTCGCACTACTCACAGAGCGCTTGAGCGATGTCTTCTGAAATATAGCCGGCACTCTCAATATCAAGCCGGAATGCGAACCTCTGACCGAAATCTGTCACATCTTCGAGATCCAGGTGAATACACATCGATAGTAAAACATAGATGGGCCGGTCACATAATGAGAAGAACAGACGACAGATGGACGAAAGGAACAGTGGAGTGGCCTTTAAGGAGGGAATGCAAACGTCCTCTAGGACGACCACCTACACGTTGTGCGGACGTGTTCGTAAACAAAGTTAATCAGCTGTACCCGCAGCTGCAGTTGTTTTACAGATCACGGTATGAGAGTCGCAAGCGCTACCTTGCTCGAACAAGACCACCACCATGGACTACTATTGCTAGAGAAAGGAGGGAATGGCATATTTGCTGGGGTCCACCCAACTTGTGAAGGCCGACCGTCCAAGTATCCAAGTAAGTAAGATGTTTTGGATTCCTGTGCGAGGATAGTGACTTCTACTTCGAAATCTCCGTTGTGTTTCTGCGTCCTATGCGCGCCTAGTGAAGTGTTTGGTTTCAATTTAGATTTACTTACTAGGTATTCTTTTATGCGGACGCAGAACGGTCTACCCGTTTCGCCAACTTATTCGTAGCCACCCGCTTTGCAAGAGAATAGGTACGCTATACCCAAACTGATGCAATCACCGTCTCTACTGTTAGGGCAAATTATGCGGTTTATCGTTGTATATAGACGTTCACATAGGCGGTTGCGAACTAGCTGGCGTTTTAGAGTGTCAGGTGGTATTTATACCGCTGTTGCCGAATTCTCTAAACCGCACCTTCTTAAGCAACGTCTTATAGCTGCCCTTATTTAGTTCGAAATAAAGGGCACTATGAACGGAGCCTTGCTGTCGCTAGAATTATCGTTTCGGAGCGTGGTTTTTCCTCCACACCTATCCTAAGGAGCTACACTTTCGTAGCCATTCGAAATGGCTATTTTCCACGCCAATTTCAAGGGTTCCTCTTCCTTCGAAACATGTTTCTAACAAGCGCCCTTTCCGTGTGTGAGAGTTGAGAGGAGACGTAATGAACCACTATGTTCTTACTAGACTTTTGCTAGCATTTTGTAATTTAGCCGTTTTTGGATAGGTTGATTTGGATGTTCAGGAATGAAGGCCAGTTTTCCAGTTTTCCCGAGTGAATGTTATGTACTCTGATTGTTCATTCAGTAACTCAAAGGATTTGTCCATCTCCTCTTGTGTGGAGCAGATGGTAAAGCAATCATCTATATATCTACAGCAAAGTAATAACCGGAGATCAATTACTGGTGCTTCCACCTTAGACATAAAAGCAATGACCAAGGGTTGGTGCCAGTCGCCGTCCCATTGCGAATCCTCTAATTTGTGCCTAATATTTCCCCGACCATGTGAAGATCGAGCAGTTTAGGCGCACCTTTAGGAGGGCCATGAGCTGCTGATTGGAGAAGCCATACATTTTCATTACTCCTTCGTGTTGTTCAAGAAGCTTAAAACAATAAATAAGGATACTCAGCATAATGATTAAACTCGGTGGATTATGATATGGCTGGGCGAGAAAGAGCGAGAGGAAGCAAAAATAGAAAGTCGATAGAGGTCATCTAGAGGTCATCCATACGTACCCGAAGGCAACTGCAACTTTCAACAAGCATAACCAAGCTCATAGTGAGAATCGTGGTTATGTTGTAGGATGAGCTTACTTGCTTGGATACTTGGGCGGCCCACCTTCACCGATTGTGCGGGCCTCAGCATGATTTCCACTTTTCCGAAGTTTTGCTGGTTTATCCATTGTGGTTTCCTGGATTCCATGGGTCAGCCTAGCCATAGGCCGCCCCAGGTCGTCACCACCATAGGCGGTCGCCTTTCTTGTGGATCAGAGAGAGATTTGCCATCATACGACTAGTCTGATACTATGGCGGTGGTGGATCTTGGTATTGATTTACTCTAAGCCAGGCTTCCTGATGGAAACGACGGACTTCTTCAGGTTTGGAGGCCTTGCAGGGAGGATGAAACCCCCGCTGTACATCGCAGCCCGACACCCAGCAACACCTCCTAGCAACGATGAGGCGGTAAACTGTTGATAGGATAGTGTGAGCACACATAAGAAATACCGAACCACATTCGATATTAGTGGCAAAGTACTTTTTCTCATTCGTAAACTAACACAATGTTTTTATAAGACTTTAATTTGATTAACGTTCATGCTGGTTGAGTTCCACAACCGTCCATTCTTTCAAATAAGGTCTTCGTAGTCGCATTAGGTCCAATCCAGTAGATAGGAGCGCCATTCAAATGAAGTGACTTCACTAAGTAGGCAATGATATGGTAACGTCATGAGCTGATTCCTCTAATCAGCAGTCATATGCCTAGGAAACCGATAGGAAATCTTTTTTTCATTCTGATCAAAAAACATCGTTTCATTGAAAAGTATTTGGTTACCAGAAGGTCTATTTTATCAGCCAATGGAAATATTTTAATTCGAAGGTGCCGCCATCTCTTCGTTCTTCGTCTGTGACGTAGATTATAAGCAGGACCAATTATCACTTACAAACGCCCACGCCATGAGAGTAATCGTTCATGCAAACGTCATTGACAATTAACCAGAGTCCTCCAAAGGATTTCCCCATTCAAACGAGGCCGTTCGGGTATCATTTACCTTCAAAACTTCCTCCGTAAACTGGTTCATGTTTGTGTCAAGTGGAAAAGATAGGACTTTGCAAGACTATAAATCACACAGAGGCTTGCGATAATGAATGTGATCTGTAAAGATGACGATCTTCGTGGTTGTCTATGTCGATGCCCCTAAATTGGCATTTTTGAAGCGATTCGCTGACTTTTCCGCTCTTAGAGATATTGGTGTCCTCGTCTTTAAGCGTTATTAAAGGTAGTGCAACGAGCGTGAGAAGAGCGACGAAAGTGTTCACCATCGCTGTGTGATTTTCCACTCTAATACTATCCACCTTTATACGGAAAATAAGTGGATGCTTTTTTTCTTGTTTCTACTTTAACATGACGTCTGTAA